TTCGCACTGTCTCATCCTAACACCCCCAGGAGAAAATCGATACCTCTTCTAGTTTATGCGCTCCTGGTATTATTCTGTAAAATGGCGGATCCGGAAACTGAAAAGCCGTCGCCATTTTCAGTTTTCATGAAAATGTTTGCAGAGATAGACAGAATGGAAAATAACAGTGAAGAAAGAAAATGGGGCACATAATTTATCAGTTTGTTTGTTTTATGCAAGGAAAGCTTGCCTGGAATCCTGAACAGTTTTCCCGACATCTCATGTACTAGGATTGCATAAATGAAAGGAAATTTTGGAATGCGAGTTGTAAGCTTAGAAATCAAGATGTGTCACATTTAATAGTATTTTTATGACGAGAAAATCAGTAAGCAAATATGTAACATGTTTACTAAATAATAGTTTAAAAAACTAAAAAAACACGCTTTATATAAAATTCAACTAAAAAATAGAAAATAAATTTTAATAAATTTAAATTGAAAATATGTAGTGTAAAAAAATATATTTTTTATTTAAAAAAAAACGTGAGGTGCTTTTTAAGATATTATTGAAATAATAATTCTTCTACTCATATCTGTCAGAAAAATATTTATAACTAATAACACCATGCACCCCAGTCTATTATACAATAAAAAAAATTTTTTTTTACACTATTGAAGTGAAAACTTCTTTAGAATCGTTGTGATTTCAAACCGGATGCAACGGAAAAAACGACAGGTAAGAGACACAAATACAAAAATGTGTAGGATGAAGCATAGACCTAGGATGAAGCCAGCAAAGAATGAGACAGAAATATACATACTATTTAATACAGCGCCATCTGTGAGATTTTTTAATACTAACGTGTGTATGAAAGCTCTTGTAGTGAATTTTAATTTAGGATTATACGTGAAATTAAAATATCAATTTACAGAGGGCGCTACCTTACAATTATTTACTAATGACAAAATTTTACATATANTTTTAATACTAACGTGTGTATGAAAGCTCTTGTAGTGAATTTTAATTTAGGATTATACGTGAAATTAAAATATCAATTTACAGAGGGCGCTACCTTACAATTATTTACTAATGACAAAATTTTACATATACTTAAGACGTTTAGGATAATTGTATTTTAATTTTGGAAGGTTTCACTTCTACCACGTGTGAATTGCACACATTTTGTTGTTAATTATTTTCAATTTAAATTTTATTAAAATTTATTTTCTATTTTTTAGTAAAATTTTACATAAAGCGTGTTTTTTAGTTTTTTTAAACTATTATTTATTTTTCATTTTATATTTGTATTTCAATTTATTCAATTTTTTTTTTCATTTTTTTTAAATATTAAATTTTCATCGGTCCTCGATAAATCTACAAAGTTTGAATGAAATCTGGCCGTTTAAAGTGGCCAAATCCGTCCGCCGTCAAAATAGCGTCTAAAGGAGTCCGTTACAACCATACAAACATACATACAAGTGAAGCTAATATAAAGCGTGTAAAAAAAGAATAAAACACAACTGCTTAAGTTTTGGAAGAGTTAATTTAAGTAGGTATGTATTCACATCTAAATATATTTAGGAAAAGTACCTAAACGTATTCTCGATGTTCCATCCAAGTATATTGCTTTATTGCCTTTGCTTTATTTATTGCTTTTTCATTGACACAAATCATGACAAAGATTTTGATTGAAAACGCCCATCGACATTTAGCTTTGGTCTTTACGTTTTGAATTCAGTGGTTTAATTTTTATTTAACTTCAAAGTCATAAAACCTGTCTCCCTTAGATGGGTGCTTATAAAAATGTATCTATAAGTCGATGTGTTTATGTGTGCATATTTCCTATATGTGCCTTAACGGCTGCAGCTATTTCGATGTAATTTTCAGAAAATATTCAATTGGTTTAAGTGATCTTGTGTGAGTTCGGTTTGACTAGTTAATTTTAAAAAATAAAACAAGATCTCAATATGTACAGTATCATATAGTGCGAATGTCGATAAATTGAAATTTCGAAAATACCACATCCACAGCACTCACGATATTTTCTTCTCAAGGGTGACTTGAGAAACCACGACGCTATTTTGTCAATGAATCCGGTAGCGTCAATGCGCATGCGTGCGGACCCGTTGTCATGGCAACCGCCCAGGCATCTACCCCATCTTCTTTCGTTTATGCGGTCCTGGTACTGCCGCCCACAAATCTGAAAATTTCCTGCCCTCTTTTCAGGCTTTATAGGAAGTAAAAAACCTTCGACTTCCGTTCTTTAGGGCGTTTCAGTAATCAGATATGCTCATGAAACTTTATTAATCTGTTTGCAAAGAAAAAAGTAACTTAGTTAATGTAGTTTCTGCGCATTCTTTCGCGCAGAGCAACAAGTTAAGATACCGTTTCTCATGTTTGTTTTGTAATTTTTTTTGTATGCAAATAATTAATTTTCACAAACAAAGCACGTTGTTAATACTGCTTAGCTTCCATAGATTAATTGAATAGATTTTTGTCGAATACTTCAAAAATCGATTTAGTCCTTACATAATATCTTTTATCGTAAGCTCGCTAGGTTAGCTACCACCAAGATGCTTACTTTTTCTAATTGAAAAATATTGTTTTAGACCAATTTATTTTACTTGTGATTTACTTTATCAATGTATTTACAGAAATTAATATTTTTTTGTATTCTATATACTAAACTTCATTAGTTAGACAAATTTTCAAATCAATGTACTGTAGAATTTTTAAATATATATTTTTTAATATAAGTAACCAGCTTTTGCCCGTGACTTCGTCCGCGTGGAATACTTCATTTGGCATAACGCTAAATTTTACCCGCGACTTCATTTACGTAGAAAGTGAAAATATTTTTGAATAATACAATGTTAAGGAGCTATTTAAGGTACCAAAATCACGCTTTTTAACCGATTTCAAAAGAGGAGGCTATCAATTCGACCACCATTTTTTATCTATGTATGTTCACCGATTTCTCGAGAATACTTGAACCGATTCTGATAATTCTCTTTTCTGTTTTTTTTCGAAATGGTAGATTTACCGAATTGTCCTATAATCATCAAGACCTGATGATGGTATCCTAGAGAAATCCACAAAAATCTATAATTTTCAAAGCCTATCTTGAAGTGATTTGGGTGTTTCTTGTTATTGTTTTTATTCTGTGCCGTCGCGCACCGGCCGGCCGGCGCCTTGTACATCAATTAATATTACGCGCTTGACCATTATAGAGCAAGAGCCCGCGACAGCCAGACCTTCGTTATTTTATAAAAGCTGAAAGTTTCTCTGTGTATGTCTCCAACACAGGTAAGAACGACCCGCGATTATAGAGTTTCGATTGTGGTTACTTGGGCAGGTAACAGGCAGTAAAGGTATATAAAATAGTACCTTAAATTCGTTAAAGTATAAAGGTTTTTTTTTTNCCCGCCCCCGCGCCCGGTCCCGCGCCTCGCCCCGGCCCCGCCCGGCCAGCCGTTAACGACTTTTCAATCGTGCGTGATTATATCGCCGCGATAAATATAGATCGCATGCGCTCGTTCGCCGACGCCATGCGCAGGGCAGTCACGGCCGATGACCGCCTATACGCGACGTTCGACCATATGGACGTCATCGAGTCCGTCCAGCGTACGCTGGCTTGATTACCGGTAATCAATGGCCAACAACGGTAGGGANCTGGAGTAAATATTAAAAAAAAAACCTTTATACTTTAACGAATTTAAGGTACTATTTTATATACCTTTACTGCCTGTTACCTGCCCAAGTAACCACAATCGAAACTCTATAATCGCGGGTCGTTCTTACCTGTGTTGGAGACATACACAGAGAAACTTTCAGCTTTTATAAAATAACGAAGGTCTGGCTGTCGCGGGCTCTTGGGCTATTATTTTGCTGCGATGTTATTTTAAAACTGCGATATATTCTCATACTCATTAAAATACTGATAGCGAGATACTCATTAAAATCAAGTGTGGGTAAATTTCTTTAAAATTAAATTCTTGTAATGAATAACGTACTTATTTGGATAGAGATTAATATCATCTTCATAAAAACACCTTCACAAATAATGCTTTATTTTTTAAGAAATTTGGTTTGCATAAAAAACGTTATAGTGAGCCAACCCTAACATATAGAAATATATGCTGGCGCGGCTTTTTTTAGATCTTTTAAAGAGGAACAATACTGTCTTACATTATTTTAGCAAAATTTAACCGTTTCCGGTTTCTTAATTGATGCTCGGTTTGTATTGATCTTAGCGTGAGGTTATATAGCATATAGCCTTCTTTAATAAATGGGCTATCTAACACTGAAAGGATTTTTCAAATCGGACCAGTAGTTCTTGAGATTAGCGCGTTCAAACAAACAGACAAACTCTTCAGCTTTATAATATTAGTATAGATAAAATATCACGGTATTAATTTAGATTTTTTGAAGCGCGCATTCTTTTTACCTAATTAATTCTCATTAATTTGTAAGGATTCAATTTTTATATTCATTGAGATTTTGTAAGGAAAAGTTCGTAAAAAGGAAAAGCTGTTCATATTCTAATAATAATTTACTCTATATTTACATTACATACATGTGTACATACATAAGCTAGGTACCTATACATAGTATAAAATTTTCCAGCGCGATACATTTTTAAAACACAAGTGCTTTTTTTCACATTATTTTTATATATTTTCTGCGATTACTTTTTTCATTTACTGCATCAAATTAAAAAAAAACAAATCTTTCTTTACTTTTCTTGTCAACTTGAAGTAGGTAAGTCATGAAAATAAAATTCACAATATCGTTTCCCTCATAGGTACTTAGGTATGTTTTTTCAGTACAAATTATCTGGCTCTAAACATCATCACAGAATATTAATTATCAGAATATACCTATTAATTTAAAAAAAAAAAAACCATCTCGTTATCTGTGGAATCTCATGTCACTTTTCACTCTCTTCACACCACTCCATTTGCTGATCGTTTCTAATAAATAATGTAGTTTTTTATCCTTAGCATCAGGTCCAAGCTGGTTCATACTGGTTCGTGGGTTTCATTGTGTGTCGGCTCAACCGTCTGTTTCCTCTTCAAAGTCTTTTTGCCGGGTAGTGTGAAACAGAATATGGCGTTTACTACAAACAAATTCATTTATACGAATGAACAAAATCATTTTATTAAATTCAAGTCAACCGAAATTATAACTAATTAAAACATTTTCATTAATTTTACATATATTAAAAAACCAGGTAAAAATTATTTGTCTATTGTTTGCTTTTATGTAATCTGTAAAACTCTGTCTAATATCCGAATACTTATGGAGAGTAGAGGCAAAGAGAACCGTCTCTGTGTGTAAAAAGTGTCCGTTAAAATCTGCTAAATAAGGGTGGCGCTACAGTAGCAACCGGGTTAATTTAAAAATGGCGCTGAAAGTAATTGGAATAAGATAGAGAAATAAAAAAGGACGAAAGAACTGTAAGCACTACGAAATCACAAAAAGTATTTTATTTAAAGCTGATAAGAAAATGCAATCGATGTCTCCACGTTTTACCACAACAACAATTTTAGGTTATATTGACGAAATTCGTTTGGACTACGTAAACATGTGAGGTCTTGTATATTACATTGTCACTATCTACTCTAGTCATGAAATATATTAAATTTCCTAACTCAGCATACTTCAATCAGTTAACAGCTGCTCAATTCATATCATACCTTGTGCCTATGCTAGCGCTATTCTGGAGGATTTTTGAACTGTCATTTAGTGCTGAAAGTGGGACACTTTTTCAAGCTTCTCCTATATGAGACGGTTCTCCTTACCTCTACCCTCCATACGAATACTATTCCTAATTGACACATGACATTTTGACAAAAGAGGCATTTTTAGATTTCAAAGATCACTTCATTTTCTGACACAAAGGTATAAACTAGGTAACAGATTAGCTTGGAACTGACATAAAGTTTACTAGCACTCAGGAGTAAAGAATTACGTTTAGGTAAGTAGGAAAAACAAAAGCGTAGCTAGATTAGAAAAACGAAAGAAATTTTCCATTGCAGAACATCAGAAAAATGATCTTAGTAGATATATCTCGTGTATAATCTTACCGATAAGGATTCCCCCGAAAAGATAGAAGCCAGCTCCGCAATTCGTCTCCAGGAAAACCCCTATTAAGTTGGAACCAATCATCGACCCGACCCTTCCCATCATCATTGAAAGACAAATCGCCATGGCTCTGAAATTTCAAATGGTTCGTCTTAATATTACCACTTCCCTAGGATCAATACATTGTAGTATTGTTACCTAAATACAGAATAGTACTCAGTGAAAAGTACTATACCTCAACTAAATGGTCTCCAATTAACTTGTCTAGTGTAATATTAGTCTATGCTTCGATCTTAAAGAACATCTGTGCAATAAAGCTTACTATAAAGTCAATGATTATTTAGAAGATTAGACCAAGTGGGAATGAGTTGCTCGCTCCGGGCATTTCAATATTGTAATAATTGTTACGTTATAATACTAATTGTAAAAACGAATACTTAAAAAAAATCATATATTAAAAAAAAAAGACGCGCGCTGAGTTTCTTGCCAATTCTTCTCAGGACGGAGGCTAGTTTTTGTGAATTGGCGGGTTCTTTTGACGTTCAACAAGTATGTAGTTTCATTTATGTTGAATAAAAGTTTTTTGATTTGATTTGATTTGATCTAGTAATGGGCAGAAAAAAAATACTAATATTAATAATACGAAAGTAATTGGTATTCGACAACGAAATTATTTGAGCCCTGGGAAAGAAGTCAAACAAGGGTTTCCATCCATGCGATATAAAATGTATTCCATGAGGTATAATTTATGGACGGGGCTAGTTAAAAATTCAAGGTAAATTGAATTGGCAAAGACTTCCCAAATCTCAAATCCGCAGCTGTAGACTTGTAACGCTATTTTACATAAAATACAATTATGCTACTCTGTGGTCTATTATAGGGTACGAATGAATGCGCTATGAGGGGCTTGTAGTGGGAAAGCGAGGAGCGAAGTTGTGTGAATTGTTTTATTTTCTTAATTAAGATTTCTCCTGGTTAAATTGTATAAAAATGATAGCTCATATCTTTAGCACCTGTGAAAGTGCATAATTGCCGGAAAAATTAAATAAAGTATCCGGATTCGGCTTCACGAGTTCTTCCAAGAAGCCCGAAAAGTATCAAGGTCAATGTCAATATTTTTTTTGCCCTTGTAGGCAGACAAGCATACGGCCCACCTGATGGTGAGTGGTCACCGTCGCCCATGGACTTCAGCAATGACAGGGGCAGAGCAAAGCCGCTGCCTACAGCTACCTCAACGTTAATCAAGTGTAATTTTATCCCAATGGAATATATGTAATATTTCAAATAAATAATAAAATATCTGGCAACAATAGCGCTGCACAAAGAGCCAATTGCCATATTGAAAAAAAGAAGATTAATAAAAGAAAAAGTTAAAAATTTAAAAATTAGTTTTAGTGTTATCAATAAAGTTACCTAAATTTCGTGGGGAACAATTCAACGGCAACCGCATTCATGAGGCCGATGCAAGCGCCGCACATTTGAAAGATGGCGAACAGAACTACCGCGAGATGTTGGCTGGAGGCCAGGTGGGCGCCGATCCCGCAAAGTCCGGTGGCGCTCAGAAGCGCGATGAGGATCGGCTTCTTCCCGATGAAGTCCACCAGGAAGCCTACGACGATGTACATGGAGCAGAACACGAGCCCTATGTAGATCGAGAGCTCGAAAGTCGTAGTGTTCATTGTGTCGTCGCACGCTATCTGAAAAAGTCGATACCTTTATTTGTAAAACATAATTTTGATGCATTAAATACTATTTCGATGGTGCATATCTATATATACATACATATAAATAAAATTGTTGTGTCTGTTTGTAATATTGAAATAGCCTCTTTTTACTACATGCATATGAATATATATACGGTACATACACCAAAATAACATTTTTTACAATTTTTGTTTGTCTGTCTGTCTGTTTGTTCCGGCTAATCTCTGCGGAAGTAGTGAATTAAGTATTTTAAAGTGTTTTGTGAGTGTTCTAAATGACAATACAGTGTTAACTTGTAATTCAGTAGAATTTTTATTTATCCCGAACTCCAGCACGAAAACGTATTCATTTTTATTTTTAACAGGTTTTTATATATAGAGCCGTTACAGCTACTAAGCTCAAACTAAGCTCCCTTGAGAAGTAATTTCGGAATTTCATGTAGATACATTGCAGAATTATAACGGCCTTTACATTTCAAAACTAAACGCACGATTACTTCGTGGTAAAAGCTGGCAGGAAAGTTGTTGCGATCCCTGTAAGACATTAAAAGCATCAAGTGATCAGCTCAACTCACATCAGTTCCGTTGGCTGCAGTTTCCCTGCTTGCGTCCAAGACATCACAGATCCCAGTCTCACCTCCTTCGTGATTGGCGAGAGAGTTTAGTATCGTGGGAAACCACACGTAAAAACCGTTGGTACTAAAAAAAATACACAATTGCATATAGTCAGTATGCCTCCTTTAGTGACAATACTCGCTAAAATATTAAATTGAATGTGTTAAATGCTCATATTTTTTTTGTGTTTGAGAGATTACTGGTGGCCCGAAGGCCTTTCCAGTTTCACCAGGACAGGTGGGCGAGAAAAGGCTCAGCCAGGAGGGGTGGGTTTTGCTAACAGCTGCCTCCGAAGGAGACCTAACAACTCAAGAACAATTGCTTCGCGAACGAATCTACTACCGGATCGGAATCGCGACCCGCTGAGAAGATCCGGCGAGAAACTCAGCGGGCTGATGCATGGGTTAGGTTGCACGTCGACCTCTTTGTCGAGTTAGACGAGTACGGTTTCTGGGGTCCCTAAGCCTGCTCCTAGTATTAGAGCTGAAGGCATCTAATGCAAAGGTTATTGGATCTGATGGATCCGTAAGGACGTGTGGAAAATGCTCATATATCGCGATAGCATTGCATCGAGGCTCGGAAGCCATTGCGTTAAAGCTCTTTATTATAATTATAACAAAACATAAATATATATTAGTGTAGGATCGTGGCTCATAAAATAAAACTATTCCACTGATGCATTTTTATTGTTTCCCTTTTAAAATCTTCTCTCTTTTTATAATTAAAAATTAATTAACATGTTTTTTACGTCCTGCTCATTCAGTCGTCTTCGTTCGAATATTAAGTGTATAATCTATGGTCTTCGTCATAGATAATACACTTAATATTTGAGAGTCTTCGCCATCTTGCTTTTCTCTACCTATCATTCTCTTTTCCCTTTCTTACAGTTTTCTCTGACTCACATAAGATGTGACTTCACTCGTTCCATTCTTACCAATCCTAATCCCAAATAGCAAATCGAACCAACAATTAGTGTATTTTTTTATCATATTTAAACTGGATAAGATATTAGAACGAAGATATAAAATTATTGTATTTTCATTGGTTCTTGATGCGTATGAAATTTGTCAAGTTAATCGGACATCTTGAAATCGGTGACATTTTAAAAAAAATTACATACAAACCAAAATACGTATGAAGTTAATAAAAGCCTTTTTACAAATGTATAATTAGAATAAAAATTTGTCGCTTACGTGGCGAAAATTCCGAATTGCACAAAGCAAGTCAGCAGGGTCCATGGCAGAAGGGGACGTTTGAACAAAGGTACTGTCTGATCCTTCATCGAAGACCAGACGGCAGCGGCTCCTTTACTATTAGAAGCTTTCGAAAGCTGACTGTCCATTACTAGGGATTTTATCTGAAATACAATGTTATATATGTATGTAGTTTGAAAACAAAGAAAAAAACGCACAAAAATGTATGCATGTAATAATAATATTTTAATATTAAAAACAATAAATATATAACTAATATTAAAATAATACGGTCTGCTTGTTTCTTTTTAACACAATTATGTATTCCAGTTCAAACATGACAGGCACTGCCAAAAAGGTAGCCTGTAAAGCTTGTAACTTTAAAATTGAATGATAACTTTACTATTCATGACATTAAAAAAATGCGAGACTAAGCCCTAAAGTAAATAATAGTTTAAAAAAACTAACAAAATACGCTTTTATAGAAAATCCAACTAAAAAATAGAAAATAAATTTTAATAAATTTGAATTAAAAATAGTGTAAGAAAAAATATTTTATTGTAAAAAAAACGTGGGGTACATGGTATCAGTAGTTATAAATATTTTATGAATAGATATGAGTAGAAGGGTTATTTTGTCAATATCCTGAAAAGCACCCCACGCTTTTTTCAGAATTTCAATTTACTTCATGTTTTTATTTTATTTTTAATATTGAATTGCCATCGGTCCTTAATAAGTATACCAAATTTCGAGTTAATCCGACGTTTTGAAGGGGGTCAAAATCGTGTTCAAAGATTCCGTTACATACATACATACATACGTCTGAAGCTAATAAAAGCGTATTAAAGATAGGTTTCATTAACATAAATTAACTTACAGGAAAATCGTCTTTAGACATCTTTCGGTTTCCCGAATAGATCGTCTTCACCACATCCAGAGCATCGCTGTACCGGTCATTGGCGTTCAAGAACTTCGGACTCTCCGGAGCGAAAAGCAATAGCACTGATGCAATAACGAAAGGCACTGCGCAGGCTACGACCAGTAGACGCCATGGACGATAAAGAATGTCAAGGTAGACTATAGGAAACGCGAAGTCTAGAGGTAGAATGAGCCATGATATACCTGCGGAAGAATTATCCCATTGAAATCCCGTGGAGCGGCTTCATTCTAATGTAACCAAAGATGGCATGTCACAATATGAGTTTGCGCAACAAAAACCTTAGACCATTAAATTTGTCTTGTGTACTAATGAGACGGAGATAAGACGTTTTTTTTTATTGTCCTTGGCAGACATACAGTCTACCTGATGGTGAGTGGTGACTGTCGTCTGAAATGCCAGGGGCAGAGCCAAGCCGCTGCCTACCGTTAATTACTCTCCACAAGCCTTGTTTGCGGAATGTCATAGCGCTCGGTAAACACCGTAGAGAGGAGTTCATTCCAAAGCCGGATGGTACATGGCAAAAAAAAATCTCTGGAAACGCACTGTGAATGAACGCAGTGGCTCCAGTTAGTATAGATGAATTCTACTCCGGTGGCATTCGGTGCGATGGTAAACACAAGATGAAGGGATCATCTTAAACAATTGGTGGCTGAACAAAATAAAACTTTGCTTCGACATGGCCCGTTACTGAGACGATCATTTCCACGTTTTTCTTTTTGTTTTTGTTACATTCGAAGGCGGATAAGTAGACTCCTTTAATGGTGGAAGATCACAGTCGCTCGTGGCACTCGCAATGCCAGAAGTTGCCACATAATTGTCTACTGATTAATAGGCTAAATATTCTTAGATCAGTTCCACTTCCCAGAATTTGATAAATTAATATTTAAGGGATTTATTTTTATAGTTCCCAAAAGCGATGATCCCAAAAATTTTCCTTCAAAAAATTATATATATACAGTCAAAATCTGTTATAACGACATCGAAGGGACTGCTCATATTCAGTCGTAAAAACCGATAGTCGTAACAACCGGTGATGTTTAATGTGTATCGTGCAAGTACAAACAAATCGATAGGGAATTATTGGAAAAATATATTTATTCAACTATGTACATTTTATTTATTGCACATAAGTACAACATGCATATTATTTTTCTGTGAGCATAAAATCTGTAATTTTGGTCTGTTTGGAACACTTCTGTTGTGCATAGATATTTTATAATTCACGTTGGATTTACGTTTAATTAACGTATCGTCATCGCTCTTTCCAAATAGTTGCAATTGTCGAGTGTGATACACCATATTCCTTTGCTAAGTCTTTGTTTGAAATTCCGCTCTCTAGCTTGGATATAATACGCGATTTTTCTTCAATATTAATTTGTTTTCTTTTTCATTGCGACATTTTCACGAATAACTCCGCAAAGTTTTGGTGCGTCTTGTGTATAGATAAGTAACAAACTAACTGAAGAGATATGAAGAAGCGGGTTTTGACTCTACTGCATGCACGTGTTTTGTTTCTAAGAATTAGAAAAGACCCTACACTAAACTAAATCCTATTGTTTTCTTTCCTGATTTTAATAGCCATTGAAGACAAATGTGGATACCTATTCAAATTGTTTACAATACAGCTTAGCCGGTCGTTCTAACAGATCTAATTCTCCGAAATATTAGTTAAATGTGGTCGTTTTATGAGGTATGTCGTTATAAGCAAGCAATGTTTTTAATAAGGCGGTCATATGGCATTCAGCCGGGACCTTTGTTCTAAGTTATTATAACCGGCATGTTGTTCTAACCGATGTCGCAGTAAGCGGTTTTGACTGTATATATATTTTATTATTGCTTAGGTGGGTAGACGAGCTCACAGCCGACATGATGTTAGGTGGTTACTGGAGCCCATAGACATCTACAACGTAAATGCGCCAACCACCTTGAGATATAAGTTCTAAGGTCTCAGTATAGTTACAACAGCTGCCCTTGAAACCGAAACGCATTACTGCTTCACGGCAGAAATAGGCGGGGTGGTGGTACCTACCCGTGCGGACTCACAAGAGGTCCTACCACCAGTAATTACGCAAATTATAATTTTTGCGGGTTTGATTTTCATTACACGATGTTATTCCTTCACCGTGGAAGTCAATCGTGAATATTTGTTAAGTACGTATTTCATAATCATCAATTGATTTAGGTATGACTTACATGGTAATATAACCGTTCCGATACCGACGAACGAAGACCCGAAGGCGACCATCTTGTCCCTGTGCCTCAGGTTGTTGAATTCGCCGAGATACGTGTAAACCACTGCTGATGATCCGGACATGCTAAAAAAATCATCATTTCAATGGCCAATTACTTTTTAATTGGGCAGATATAAATTTATCATTCCACAGACAGTTTTTCTGAAAGACATATAATGAGTGGTTGCGATGTGATTGTTAATGATTTTGAAGTTTTAACTTTGTGTATCAGGCCCAAACACCTGTTACGTTTGCATACATCATGATAATCTTTAGCGATAATTAACAGCTTAAACTAGGTAATACATTAAATTAATCTGGTATGCCTTCAATGCCATTACAAATAACGGATAAAAATTTTAGCAGAATACTTACAACACAGCAGATAGGAATTGCAAGATCGCAAATGAGATGATCTCAGGTGAGAAGCTGGCAAAGACCGAGAATACCGCGGATATGATCATGGAGAACAGCATCACAGGTCTCCGACCCTGGGTGTCTGCCAGCCAGCCCCAGAAGTACGATGTTAATATTATTGCTGAAATTAAGCCAAAAAGGACCAAATGAAAAATTCCTCGACCATAAAAAGTCCAGATATTGTAAAATCATCAATGATATGAAATTTATAGCCAATAGTCATTGCCGTAACAATTTTCTGAAGTCAGTCAACAGTAATAATGGTATGCGACCTCTTCGAACTCTTCCCGGCTATCTGTCCACACTAGTAACGCTTCCCCTAATTCCTATCTAGGTTAATTTTGGTATTAAGAGCGTGCTGAAATTCATAGCCACATTTCCGCTGCGAAGCAATTGTCTATTTCAGTTTGAAGTTATTTTTCTATAATAAGGGATATTGAGTTCCTATTAAATAGAAAAACAATATACTTCCAAAAGCTATGTTATCTAAAATCTAAAATAAATTATGGCCGTTCCTGTGTACATACAGATCTGATTTCAGTGATTTCCTCTAGTCTGCTCCAAATGAAATTTAATTGCACGCTATATGGTGCTCAGGCTTGAGCAGCTGGTTAACACCAGATGGGCCATTGACTTTTATGCCCATCTTCCTACGGCTTTAAAAAAGGCCATTCACTATCTACTATCACTATCACAGAGTCTTCGGTATCTACAGAGTCGATCGCAGAGTTCTAGTTCCGATCTTAAGATTGCAATGACGCACTAAAAATATAATTAAAATCAAACCCGCAAAAATATAATCTGCATAATTACTAATGGTAGGACCTGTTGTGAGTCCGCACGGGTAGGTACCAACGCCCTGCCTATTTCTGCCGTGAAGCAGTAATGCGTTTCGATTTGAAGGGTGGGGCAGCCGTTGTAACTAGACCTTAGAACTTATATCTCAAGGTGGGTGGCGCATTTACGTTGTAGATGTCTATGGGCTCCAGTAACCACTTAACTCTAGGTGGGTGTGAGCAGGTCCACCCATCTAGGCAATAAAAAAAAGTAGAAAACCTATGTTCAATCACAATAACAATATCTTACCTAAGAACGGAATAGCTGATAGCCATCCTCGCTGTTGTAAGGTAAGTTTGAGGTCGCATTGGGCCACCGGCAGGATGTACCCGAGGGCCAAACTCTGCATGATCATGCCCATCAGAATGACACCACTCATCAGCATATGCAGAATGTTGTAAACACCAAACCCTGATATTTTCATATGTTCATACATATTATCATATTTAAGAATTTATTTGCTCGGCTTAGAATCCGTCAGTTTTATTTTGCTCGTGTTTAATATTAGTCGCAGCGTACACGGAGACTTCGCATTTGTATGAAGCACAAAATTGAGACTAGATATAGTGCATTCATGATTAGCTTGTTTTTAATAATCCAAGGATGAATGAAGCTAACCTATTCGATGATGTTATAAGCCCTCATATAGTTTTAGTTTAAAAATAAACTTTATTTATGAATCCTCTACCTCTGCTAGGGTTAAGCCTTGGTTTATAACGGTTTTTTTTGATGGGACTTGACTTGGTCTTTCCCAACATTAATATGGTATCAATGCAATCTATTTATCTATTATGTAGTTTACTCTACTGCTTCAATGTCATATCTTTATCTTATCGAACTTTCTAAACAAAAACACAGATTATTTTACGAACTATCACCTAAATCAGTTTGGCCAACTTATTTAGGTTTTTGTGCGAATTTCCAAAGTAATGATCAAATTTAAATTTACTCAACGACGAAGCCATTTAAAAAAGACAACATACATATAAATGAGAGATATTTTTTCTTATACACTACAAAAGACTGAAAATTTTTTTTAAGATGCAAAATTTTATAAATTCTCCAATAAGTACATAGTTAAGATTGTTGGTTTATATTGTATGCTTATATTGTTATAAACACCTTATATGCAAAATAACAAAAAGCCAGTAAATACTGCGACGGGGTTTTCCGAAACTGTTTCATAAAAAATAATATAACGTTTTATTATAAGCTAGTTAATGTAGAATAAACATGAAGTTGATCCCAGAGCAAATGCTACATATTACGTATTTGTTTGACGTAAAATGAAAATAAATATTTAGTTAACATTAAGTATTACGATTGCACGGTGGGTTTGTCCCGCTAAAGTTTCAATATCTCGTCTATTTATATTGTGTTTGTTGTGTTTTATCGTAGCTGTGAGCATGGCAGTGTTGCTTACTTCGATGCACTTTCTTACTTACCGGCTTCCATCATAGCCTCATCTAACGTCGCTATGCGAGTCTTCTCCTTATCTCCCTCTTTCTCTATCTTCCCGTTTGCTGTCATTTTGTATTCTGCAAAGCGAAGTATGCAATCATTTTAATCGATTGTTTTTATTTTCGTACATAGGTGGAGTTAACGAGCTTGCAGCCCATACAATGCACTGCTTAAGTGTCGCTGGCTTTTGACTTAACTGAGACAAAACTCGAGGATTGGAGAATTGAAATAGCGGCTATATGATTGCTGTTTGGTTGAACTAGGCAAGATGTTACTGATGTTAACAATTCATATTGACATAATCGATTGATGGGGAAAAAATTTACTATAGTCGCTCGAGAAGATCTAAATTGTTAGTTCATGTACTCTGATCAACAACCAGACTTGTATGTATAATACTCGCATCTTTGGATTCGAGACATCACTGGCTTAATGGGTAAAGCATCCGATGAACTCAACTGGGCCTCACGTTCTGATAAATAATGGCTTCAACAATAAAGGAATTCTTAAAATATATGATTTGTTACGAAGCTTCGTAACAAAACATATATTTTAAGAATTGAAAATTAAAAAAAACACACACGCTTAAATGCAAACGGAATTTACACAGTTAATACGTCCTTTATTACATCCTGTCAATACCGGTCAGTATTTTAGAGCGAAATTATAAAATTATTGTATTGCTATCGGTCCTTGATACGTGTGCTAATTTTCTAGTTAGTCGGAACTCAGTGAAAATGATATTCAAAGATTTAGTTGCATACAAACAAACATGTAGATATATATAGGCCAAGATAATAAGAACGCGTTAGAATCGAACGAGGTGATGTTTTTAAATTTGCCATTATGTACCGTATGAGGTAATGTTATTGAAAGTGTTTCTGTGGGTATATTTATTCATTTATATATAAAAAAACATTCGTTGCCCTAGATCAGTACACCAGCTCACTATCTCAAAGGTGGAGCTCATAGATATCGCTAACGACATTTTCAAGATAATTTTGCATATATACACGCAGATTTATTTGCGAAACAGCTGCTCTTGAGTTGTTAGGTCTCCTTTGGAGGCGCTCGGGCAGCTGTTAGCAAATTTCACCCCTCCTGTCTGAGTCTTTGCTTGCCCACCTGTCCTGGTGAAACTGGAAAGGCCTCCTAGCCACCAGTAATACCTCATTCATAAAAATGATATAGCAATTCTTGTATATTAATATATATATATAATATAATCTAAATCTCGGAAACGGCTCCAACGATTTTCATAAAATTTAGTATACAGGGGATTTCGGGGGCGATAAATCGATCTAGCTACGATTTATTTTCAGAAAATCTTGTTTTATTTGTGTTTTCAATAATCAACTCTTCCCGACATCTATTGGCGAATAATACTACTATTTTTCTTAATTGAGGGCAACTAACCGCTTTAAAGACACAACAAGATGGCGTTATCAAAAAAAAAAAAACGAGCAAAGCGGTCATCATCTAGTTATATAACAATATAAGTTCCGAACAATACCCATACACAGCTCTAGTCGCTATAGTGGCTCTTTCACAATACAAGCAGTGCGATTATGGAATTCTCTCCCTCAACCTATTCGTGCTAGTTCCTCTCTAGAAGTTTTTAAGAGTCAAATGAAGAAACATTTCCTGTCACTTTAATTGTATTTAAGTTATTGTTTTATGTATGTTTATTTACATGTATTTTTCATTTTATATTAGCTTTTTTTTTAAAGCTTAGTTTAAAAATCATGCTTTAATAGCTTTTATATTGTACATTATTCCCCTCTTATACATCGTATTTCTCTCTGCTAATGGTTTTCTGGAAGAAAACTAATGAATGAGTTAAGCTCGCCTTTGTACATAGCATTTAGACATTATTTAAATCTGTTTTATTGTATTTTCTTTTTGTGTACAATAAGTATAAATAAATAAATAAATATAAAAAAAACAATAACATTTGCTGTCTGTCTACCGAACAAGTTGGACCGCTCAGTAGAAGATCTTGCCATTGTCACAACCCCGCCAAATACACGTCTTACCTTTTTATCTATGCTGAATACAACAAATGATTCTGAGGCATTATAAATACATTTTTATATAAAGATAAACTTTTTATACAGTCACCGTTGTTACCTTGCTAATGAAAAACACAATAAACTTTAATCCTAACGATTTAATTTTCCTTATCAACGCTGATCCTAAAGACCCCAAATGTAGATTGATAACGGATGCGAAACAATAATAATTTCTTTATGAGTCTAATTTATATGCGCGTTAAAACTTTAGCGACAGTAAGGCTTATGAATAATAAAAATAAAACGATTTTCTTTATTGCAGGAGCTTCTTCGGTCTCATGGGTGTCGCAAGCGTGATAATACAAAAGTAAATAAATGCCGGATCAGTAAAATATCATCAGAATAATACATAATAAAACATTAGCAACAGTCTTCTTAACATCATATTGAGCAAGATCGAGGGAATGCTAATTAATAGCCTTTGCAACGGGAAAGACTAAAAAATATATGGTAATAGTCAGATAGTAATGTTTTAGGTTTTGAAATTACTAACATAGATTATAAGTAATACTTACTAACGAAATGTATGGTATCTTTACTGAGATAAAGATTTAATAATAATAATGATGTATGTAAGGCTTTGATGTTGTTTGTGCTTCGATGGTGTAGTGGGTTGTATTGATTAATAATTAGACAACAATGTTTTTTTAGAATAAACCTTTTCACTGCCGCTCTACCCTTTTTGAATAGGTTTCTTTTTATTACGCGGTTGGGTGAACGAGCTCACGGTCCAACTTGTGTTTAGTGGTTATCAGATCCCTTATACATCAACAACGTAAGTGCCGCCACCTGTGACACATCAGTTCTAAGTGTCAGTTGGGCCCTACCTTTCAACCGAAACTCGTTATTGCTTCACAGCAGATATAGGCAGGGTGGTGATATCTACCCGTTGAGGCTCATAAGACGTCCTACCATCATTCGCCCGAAGCGCCTCTACCATTGTGCTTAATACGAGTTTTTTAACGTTCTCGATAGCGTAAAAGTTAGCTCAAATTTACTTTTACGCTATCGAGAACGTTAAAAAGCTCGCACAGATCCGCCTGAGTTATTGTGAAGTCGCACCAGGATATGCGTTTCCATTGTGCTTTTAGCTCGGATGTTAGTGCACACATGAAGACACGTAGTCAAAATCGCCTCCTGCCTATCTAACCCTTCCTACTATTTAATTCTCCTCGCCAGTAATAAGTAGCACGGGGGTACTTAAAACATGCGCGGGATCAACACAAATATCTTTTATACTTAAAATTGTTTTTTTTTTGCTTTTTAGTACAACTATGTAATCAAAGATTGTTTTTAAATATCTAATCTCAAATACCCCCAATGTCGATGAATAAAAAAAACTCATAAAACAATAAAATTTTATGACAAACAGTATTTTGTAACATAAAGGAAAAAGAAATTAGTGACTACATTTGTCATTGTCTCATAATAATATCATATGAAAACGATAATAATAAATAATTATAAATTATTGGATCAAATTTCTTTGGAAATAACCATCATTTGGTTATCAATGCGTAATTTGTTACTGCCTACTTTGGAAATTCCTCGTTTATTCATCCGTTGTTCGTTGGAGAAAAATTGAATTTCATTGCGATACTATGTGACTATATCTCGTCACGTGTTCAATGACTTGTACCAACTTTTTTAATGAATAATAATAAATAACTGGGAACAGAAGTGGCGGATGAAAGGTGATTGCATGCAGCAGAGATGCGAATGTTGCGATGGATGTGTGGAGTAACGAGAATGGATAGAATACGGAATGAATATGTTAGAGGAAGTCTGAAAGTGGCACCTGTGACAGAGAAGCTGAGGAGTGCGCGTTTGGGATGGTATGGACATGTGATGAGACGAAATGAAAACGAGGTTGGTAAGAGAGTGTTAACTATGAATGTGGAAGAATATAGAGGAAGAGGTAGACCTAAGAAGAAATGGATAGATTGTGTGAAAGACGATATGGGTAAGAGGGGAGTGAGCGAAGAAATGGTATATGATAGAAGAGTATGGAAGGAGAAAACATGTTGCGCCGACCCCAGGTGACTGGGAGAAGGGCAGGATAATGATGATGATGAATAAATAGCTGGGAACAAATCACGGACGGTTATCCGGCCCCAAATTAGAATTCCCTGTGTTATATATTATGGGTACCAGAGGCTGATATGCAGTTACAGGGCTCTAGTAACCAAAAAAAAAAATTTAGATTTATTCGATACTTTTTTTATTGCTTAGATGGGTGGAAGAGCTCACAGCCCACCTGATGTTAAGTGGTTACTGGAGCCCATAGACATCCACAACGTAAATGCGTCATCCACCTTGAGATATAAGTTCTAAGGTCTCAGTATAGTTACAACGGCTGCCCCACCCTTCAAACCGAAACGCATTACTGCTTCACGGCAGAAATAGGCAGAGTGGTGATACCTACCCGCGCGTACTCACAAGAGGTCCTACCAACACTAAAACCTTCCTACTATTTCCTAAGATTTCTAACGTCAAGCTAAATCCAATCAAAACACATGACATCATACCCGGCTAATCATTGTATTTTAGTGTATTATTTATGATTGTTAGATCGTCGTTTGTTTGGCCTGAAATGACATCACGATCTTAATTACATCCACGAAAATTGGAAAAATACTGGCATTAATTATTGGAAATCTTTCAGCGTTGATCACCGTTGCGGCCGACAGCAAGTTAATTATGTGCTAATTCAATAACAACAACAAAGCAATGTCCTTCATTTAAACTATAAACGATGTTAATATTATATTTAAAGGTTTTATTAAGTGGATTATTAGGAGTTTATTTATTGTCATTATATTACTTCCGACATTGTGAACACTTCATAGTTTTATACGTTTTCTGGTTTTTAAAACCGGTTAAGCCTTTGCTCGCCCACCTGTCCTGGTGAAACTGGAAAGGCCTCCGGGCCACCAGTAATCCCCTCATTCATAACAAAATCCGTCTTTAAAAAAATGTGAGCCGTCACGGGACGCCTGGCAGAT